ACAGAAGACAGAGGACCTATCACTTGCATCCGCTGGTCGCCAGACTGTGCAGTTCTAGCTGTCGCATTTGGCAATTCAGATTTAGCCCTGATTGATCCAGCAACAGGACATGTCGTGGATGGGATGGAAGATGAGAGCCAGGCCCCTGTGTTGTCACTTGCGTGGAGAAGTAATTCAATCTTGACGGTCGGAAGATTTGATGGAACTGTTGTTGATTATGACTTTAGAAAGGATGACATGTTCATCTGTTTCTATAATGGGCATCGGCGTGGAGTTTGTAGTCTTAAATGGTCCGTGTTGTCAGGACGGTATTTGGCGAGTGGAGGGCAGGATAAACTAGTGCACATATGGGATGCCTGTATGCCTGTCTCACATCACCATCCACGTCAACGTCAATGGCTTCACAGGATCAGCAGCCACACTTCCATTGTGAAGGCCGTTGACTGGTGCCCAACTCGGAGCAACCTGTTGGCTTCTGGTGGAGGTTGCAATGATAATTGCGTTAAGTTTTGGAACACCGTTAATGGTGCTTGCTTGAACTCGATTGATGCTGGCTCTGAAGTTTGTGCATTGCTATGGGACAAAAACAAATCTGAATTACTGACCTCCCATGGTTCGCCGAACAATCAACTCACCTTGTGGAATTACCCATCCATGACGAGAGTGGCTGAGGTTTCCGGTCATTCATCCCGGGTTCTTTCCTTGGCTGGGAGTCCACTGGGAGGTGTAGTAGCTTCTGCAGCAGCAGATGAGACAATCAGGTTTTGGAATATCTTTGAGACTCCCAAAATAACAAAACCTGAACTGCCCTTTGCCCAATTTAATGTTGTCATAAGATGAAAAGGCGGATAGTGGAAATGATTAAGATTCCAAATGGAAGACTTCTCTAGTGCTTGACATGAATATTTGTTGTTGGTAACACTGCAATGGGAAGTTTCGTGGTGTCAAAGATGCAGCACATTTTCATACAAAGCGCATGGATTCGAGATCTTCAAATATGAGTGCAACCGCCTAAGGTAAGTTAGAAGCCTTACAGCCTTTTACAGCATTTTAGTAGGCTTATTTACAACATGACTATCATTGCAGCTACGAGTTTGATTTTTGTTTCCTATTTATTGTTTATCATTTCATAGTTATCAATATGATTATTGCCCAATTGTTATAATCTAATTATGTGGTTTAAAGTGATTTCAATTTGCTTCTCTTGTGTTTCTTTTTTGTAAGGTACTATCTTTGTCTCATTTTTGTTTGAGAATTTTTGTGCAGACTATATATTTTGTTGTGTATGCTAATCATGCATAATTAGATCAAACTGATAGATGCTTATTGTTTTTTTTCTTTTTTGAGTTGAGATTTCTTATGATATTCAATATGGCCTTGGTATCATATGAAGACATCACATTGCACACCTAGAAGAGTGTTTGTCAATCGAGAGATCTATGCATTATAAGAGGTAATTGCCTAAGGCCTTATAGACAAAGCTAATGTGGTGGAGATTGATGATCCTCAGAAAGCTCCAGAACTTGATTGAGGCAAACAAGAAGCTGTAGTGAAGCTCATGGCCAACGGTACGTGCACCCTTTACAACAAGGGGAAGGTGCATATACAACATTCTTTTTCATTTGATTAATGGTTGTTGGTGTTTGAATTATAAAACTAGAAATCAGTTTTATGTTGTGAAATTATACATTTTTTTATTGCGCATATGGTTAGCTCACCCTTATTATCCAGAATAATAATTATTCATACTGGTCAGATTTTTTTGTTCCCCCCTATGTTTCAAATGGTCTGAATATTTCGTACCTGACGTGGAGTCATCCATAAAATATCCTTCTACTAGGTGCTTGTTAGTGTTTGACTTAAAGCCTCACACTTTGAATATAAATTTGAGAGAATATGTACATGAATGAAAAACCTGTTTATTTTTTTCCTAAAAGTGGACGACTTTATATAAAATCTCCAAACTGATATGCTAGACATTGTTTATCATAAATGAACTAACAAATGAAAGAAAGTAGGAAGAACTTGTAAGACTGAAGGTTACATCTTTGGACAATATATCATTCGAACTAGAAGCTCAGCTTAAGCACACACTTTTCCTTCATTTGAATTAATGAATTGGTCCCCCCCTCTTTTTCTATGCTTTCTGAACTTCTTAATGAAATATTTCAAATTGTTTTGAAGAGTTCAATTATTCCAAGAATTACTGCAATGCATTTTAGTGATATACTAAGTGAACTGGTTTTGCAAAAAATTTAGAAGTCAGCTGCTATTTTTTTGCTGAGCTTGCATATGGATTTTAAGAAGGAATATGGACACCATTTTTAAGTTCCATTATATTTTTTCCTCTTTTTCCCCTTTTCCTCCAC